CTGTCTCTTAGATACGGCTGGTCACTGTGATGAACGTTGTATAAACCCATCCCCAACCGACAAGCCATTCTGCCTCTGTACGTCCTGCTTGCTTATCCCATAGAAGCCCCTAGACTGCCAGGGATCAGGGCCCGATATTCTGGGAATGATCCCGATCCATGCCCATCGATGTAAATGAATCTGCCTCCAAATCCTGGCTGTCGTTTCAGTGTTTCTGCTTGCTGTTGCATACCCAATACCAAATACTATTAAAATTGCTAACTGTACCCAACCTACAACAGGTGGCTATCTTACAGTTAGTTATAGCTTGGATGGAAATGCTCTATTCAATGCCTATTTTTATTTTATTTATTTATTTATTTTGGTTTTTTTCCAGTACCAGGAATCAAACTTATGACCTTGCACTTGCCAGGCAGGTGCTGTGCCGCTGAGCTAAATTGCCAGCCCCTCGGTGCCTATTTTAACAGCCTCCCAGCCAAGTTTAACTGCAACTCCAGAGGGACTCAACATACCTCACCTCAGGGCACTGCCCTTGAATACAAACTGGGCAAGAAGAGCTGAACTGCATCTGCTTTTCCCCAGGAGCACTGGTATGACGTTACATCGACGTCCTCCTCTAGGGAGGTTTGCTTTACACAAGTCCAACATCTTGTACTCCTGTTGCGGTTCCAGTGACCAGACTGTCCTCAGTTACAAATTTAGTCCTACTGATGCTGTTCTTCATTATCCAGCCCACCTTAAATGGGGTTCCCTCTAATAATGGGCTGTAAAATGTGTCCAAATTAAAATCATCAGGTAAGCAATCCACTACACTACCAGTAACACATACCCCAATTAAGGGCCATATGATTTAAAATCTATTTGCAAAACAGCCCCTCATTACACAGAGAAACCACTAATCTTTACATACACCTCACCAAACTGTATTCCCTCCACCAGTATAAATGCCAGACCTGCCTCTTGGCCCAAGGAAGGGGAAGCTAAAATACTATTTATCGTCAACATCAATGTTCTTTAGTTCATTTGACACTTGCAATGCCATTACAGTATCGTTAGAGACCTTGCAGCTTCAGATGCACGTGAACGGGAAACCTAGTTATGGGCTGGCCTATAAGGGCTCCTTAATTTCTGCATTCCTTATTTTCATCATTTTAAAAACATTGCCCAGAATAACTGATACATTACTTTGTGTTTGTTTGGGTTTTTTGTTTGTTTGTTCATTTTTTTAGACAGGGTCTCACTGTGCAGTTCAGGCTGGACTTGAGCTCACTTTGTAGCCCAGGCCGGCCTGGAACTCACAACAATCCTCCTGCCTCAGCCTCCCAAGTGCTGGGATTACAGGTGTGCATCACCACGCCCAGCCTACATTACTTTTTAAAAGACTCTTCCATCATCACCTCAAAGTTTCCTTAATTTGTTGATAAGCCTTCACAGGGCTTGTGATACTGACCATGTTTCCAGCTCCTGTAGACTTGGAGCTTTAATACCTACACAAGAATGTAGACACCAGAGCCCAGTCTGACCCCTCGTCAGAGTGATCCCTCCAGTTGCTCAAGTTGGAGTCCTTTTTTCCTGTTTTCTTCCTCTCCTTTGTTAAGGACCAGCCTATTCGTTGTCACTTTGTCAGAGGAAGTCAGTTACCATTTCCTTTCTAATTAAAGCCTTTTCCTGTTTTTTTAAAAAATGTAGACATCAGACACCCTCTGTTCTGGAAAACCAGATGCCATGCCTGAGTCTCTCTGCGTGGGCTCCCCACTAGCCCTTCACAGGGGCCCTCTCTTCTGTTCATGCAGAAAAGCAGGCCAGCCAACCCAGTCCTCACTTGGCCCAACCTCCGATATCAAACCTAGTGCTCTGGGCTACTGATCCCCAGTGAGATGCAGACAGCGAGGCCAGCCCTGCTCCTCAGAGCCCACTTGTGTATTTGAACAAGCCCACCCTAAGTGTGCCTGTCCTACCTTGCTCAGTGCTCCCCACGGAAACCATAATAAGGATTTCTGCCTGCTGTCCCATTGCCCTGCTGACCCTGACACTGTCACGCAGGCCCCTCTCTAACAGGCCCGCCTTTCCCTCCTGGAAGTGTAATAAACTCTTCAGCAGCAATGGGGTCCTGATCTACTCTCCCTGCCAGATTTCCATTATTCCATTACTATGCTATATTTTAAAAGTGATGTCACATACTCAACCTGTATAACTCTTTGTTTTCCCATAAACACTTAACTTGAAACTAATCTTGAGGCATCAAATCCAAGTTAAGGAATATTCTACAAATAAACTGGCCTGTACTCTTCAAAAATGCCTATTTTATGAAAGGCAAGAAAATTGTTGGACCCAGATTAATGACTAAAAAATAAAAATGGAAATTTAATTGCAGGGCATGATACACCTGAGGTTAGATCCTGAAATAGAAAATGCCATAACCATATCATGGGACAACTATATAATGAGTAACTGTAGGTTAGGAAGTATCTTTTTTTTTTTTTAATTTTTTTTTTGGTTTTTCTCTGGTACCGGGAACCGAACTCACGACTTTGCGCTTGCCAGGCAGGCGCTTTGCTGCTGAGCTAAATCCCCAGCCCCAGGAAGTATCTTTTGTGACTGCTTCTGTGACTGCCACAAGATACTGACTGGTCTGCAGTGATGGTGTGAATTTCAGGGTCCGATGAGAAAAGGCCACAGCACTTGAGCCGGTTTCTCGGGGATCTGGCTTTGGCTACCATGTAATGTCCAGTGGCTGTGACGTCACCATGCTGGAGAGGCCACTATGTACAGATACACCTGAGGAATCGAAGCCAGGGGCTTTCAGTCCGGGCACTAGACGCGTGAACAAACAGGTCAGGATGCAGTTACACTAGACTCCAAGAACATAGGGGAATTCTTGGTAGAATTTATGGGCCTTTTCTTAATGTTTAGTATATACTCAACATAAAAGTTTTAAAACATTTTTAAAAAAATTACCAACAAGTAGAAAGAAACTGCATAATACTGTTATGGCTTGTATCTAGACGTCCCTCCCAAAGCCTCATGAGCTTGTACGTGGGGCTTTTCGGAGCAGGCTCAATCTAGAGTTCGTGATCCTGGGATGAAGGGTGTGTGGTACTAAATTAGGCCACTGATCATAATTAGCATATTTCTGGGTGTGGATAATGGAAGCCCCACCCCGGGTATGGGTGGGACCAATCAATAGGCTTATGGCCTGGATGGAATATAAAGGGAGAGGGAAGCAGACCTGCTGCTTGTGCTTGCTGCTTCCAGCCTGCCTTGCCAGGAACTACTTCTCTGTGATGCCCCTCTGCCATGCCACCCTGCCTTGGCTTCAGCTGACTGTGGCCTGAAACTCTGCAAACTGTGGGCCAAAACAAATTTCCCTCCTTTAACTTTGGGTGTTGGGTATTTTTGTCTCATCAATGAGGAAAGTAAGACATACCCCCCCGCTTTATTTTTATGTTACTGGGGATTGAACCCAGGTCTTCATACTGAGCACTCCCTGCCCCGCTCCTTTTTTTTTTTTTTACTTTGAGACAGGGTCTAAATTGTTAAATTTCTCAGGCTGGGCTCAAACTTGCGATCCTATTGCCTCAGCCTCCCACAGTGAGGGGATACCAGTTGTGTGGCACCATACCTGCTTATAAGGCAGTAAGATTATATACACATTCATGTACTACACACACACACACACACAATGACACAAAATCCTATGTATCTACTTTTCTGAACATTCCGGGTGTCTACCAATGTCAATAATTACAAGTTAACCTGTTCTGCGTAACATTCACTGCGTGGAGAAGCCCCCAAATATGCTGAGAGCCAACTGATGGACACAGCTTGCTATTTCCAAATGTCCCTCTGCACACACATCAACAGGTTTATACGCCACTTAATGAGGCGAAGCAGATTTTCATTTATGTATAACTTGTTTCAATTTCACTGCTTTGATAAACTTGATCACTATAACTTTCTGGTAAGTTAAAGAAAACAAGTATCCCACACTCCCTGCCAGACTACTGGATTTCATTCTGCACATTATCTTCACACAGATGGTCATCTTTAGGTAGACGCCTATTAATTGGATCATATCAGAAAGGCTCTAATATTTTTTTTTTTTGTATCAGGAATCAAACTCAGGACCTCATGCTTGCCAGGCAGGCACTGCACCACTGAGCTAAATCCTGGGCTCCTAATTTTCTTACGAATGAGTTCCTGTCAGTATAGATCCATGTAATGGCTGTATATTTGAGCATAGATTTAGTCAAATCTTCTATTTCCCCTTTTTAAAAATTTAGAATATCCTTATATATCATCCTTCTCACCTTTGCCACAATCTCCTGAGCAACTTGTCTAGTGCCAAGACTGCCGGATCAAAGGGTATGTTAATACACCGTCACCAACTAATCTTCCAAAAGCTCATGCTGTTCATTTGCACCACAGGGTGTCAAACCCCAACCTACCAAATTCAAGTTTCTGCCTTGTCCCTCCCCCAACTTTAAGGAGAGGAATAGCCCTGGGCATGAGTAATCTGACAAATCTAAGGTCCTTGAAATCCCCTGCTATGGCCTGAATGTGTCCCCTGAAGTTCCTGTGCTGAGAATCTGATCCCTAACACCGCAGTGCTGAGGTGAGAACTTGAAGAGATGACAAGGTCACTATTGGACTGATGCTGTTATTGTGGAAACAGGGTCCTTATCATGGGAGGTGAGTCAACATCCCTCCTCTCCCTGCCTCCTTGCTCGCCCACAGCCTCCGGCCAGGAAACAAAAGGGCACTAAAAAGGGCCTTGTCTTATGCAAACCCCTTGACCTGCAACTTCCAGGGCTTGACTCCAGAACCGTAAGAAATCAATTTCTGTTCTGTATGAGTCACCCAGTCTTGGGGATTTTGTTACAGCACCACAAAACAGACTGAGACACAGTCAAAGCTTTTCTTTCAGAAGTCTAGATGGAGAACTACACATAAAAAGGGAATCTGACCTAAACTTGAGTGAAGATAATAAGAAGCCAATCAACAAGATTTAAGTTTACTAAGAAACTGTCATCAGTAACCACTTTTAACATTTTGTTACAGTAAAACTGTACCTTAATGAATTAGGGCACCCAAATTCTAATCATATAAAATGTAGTATCACATTAATAAAAAGTGCTTTTCAGTCTATAAAGTACAAACAATACTAAAAATTACACTGTATACAACTGATACACTGTACAAAGAACTGAGGCTGTGATGGGTGGGAGAGATTTGCAAGTCTTTTGTCCAAAATTTGTACTACTGTGGGTGGCAGTATGTTTTGTACCTATTTCCTAAAACTGTCATTAAGGCTACTTTCAGGATTCCTTATGAATATAAATTAATAAGTATAAGGTAGGGAACTGACTAGCATCTTTATATACTGGTCCTAGTTATAGGGATTTTCTCCATTTTTTTAGAAACTGCTGGGCCTTATCATAAGCCCAGCACAGCCCTGCATGGCAGAGACACAGTGGGAAGCACCTCCCTCGTGGGAGTTACACTTTCGTTGACATCGTTCTGTCAATCATACTTTCGTTACAGTCCTGCCCATAACCTTCATTTATAAGGCCGCTCTCCTGGTACATTCTGACAAATGTTAAGATTCTTCTGTTGGATCACATCCGCAGGATGGTGACCCTTTGGAAGTTTGGTATAAACACTGACCACACTTATAGAACGAGTACGTTTCTCTTATGTTAAATCTGACATTTGTAAGGAATTAATCTGAGTCATTAAAGCACAGCATTTAAGGAGCTTCTGAATTCTGGAGTCTTCTCCCCCTCAACCAGGGCCTTCTAAAGGAGATGAAGGCTACTTCACACCTCGAAGTCTACAGGTTCCCTCCAGTGTGGACCCTCTGATGGTAGACGAGATGTGACCTCTGACTGAAGCCCTTACAGCAGATGTCACATATGTAAGGCCTCTCTCCGGTGTGGACCCTCTGGTGTGTGTGGAAATGCGAGGCCTGACTGAAGCCCTTCCCACACTGCTGACACGTGTAGGGCTTCTCTCCAGTGTGGACCCTCTGATGAGCACTGAGCCCCGCACTCCAGCTGAATTCTTTCCCACACTCCTCGCACTTGAATGGTTTCTCACCAGTGTGGATGATCTGGTGGACTTGAAGATTCGACCTCTGGCTGAAGGCCTTACCACACGTATCACATTTATAGGGTTTCTCACCAGTATGGACTCTCTGGTGGGCCTGAAGGTGTGAAGCCTGGCTGAAGCGCTTCTGGCATGCATCACATTTGAACGGTTTTTCCCCAGTGTGGACACTCTGATGGGCTTGAAGGTTTGAGGCCTGACTGAAACCCTTACCACACTCCTCACACTTATAGGGTTTCTCTCCTGTGTGGACTCTCTGATGATTGTGGAGATTCAAGCTCCAATTGAAGCGCTTCCCACACACTTCACATTTGTACGGTTTCTCTCCAGTGTGGACTCTCTGATGGGCTTGAAAATATGAACTCTGACTGAAGCCTTTCCCACACACGTTGCATCGGAACGGTTTCTCTCCTGTGTGGACCCTCTGATGGCTCTGGAAGCTGGAGGCAGAACTAAACCCCTTCCCACACTCTTCACATTTATACGGCTTCTCTCCTGTGTGCACTCGCTGATGGCTGTGAAGATTAAAGCTCAAACTGAAGCACTTGCCACACTCGTGACATTTGTACGGCTTTTCCTCCGTGTGGACTCTCTGATGTGTATGAAGATTCGAGCTACAACTGAAGCGTTTCCCACAATCACCACATTTGTATGGCTTCTCTCCAGTGTGGATTCTTTCATGAGCTTGAAGATGGGATCTCTGAGTGAAGCCCTTCCCACACACCTCGCATTTATAAGGTTTCTCCCCGGTGTGGACCCTGCAGTGAATGTTAAGATCGGTGCTACGACTGAAGCCCTTTCCACAGCTGTCACACCTGTAGGGCTTCTCCCCTGTGTGAATAGGTAAATGAGCATATAGATGTGAGCTCTGATTAAAGCTCTTACCACACTCAGGGCATGTGTAGGGCTTCTCCCCCGTGTGGACTCTCTGATGAGTCTGCAGATTGGAGCTCTGACTGAAACCTTTGCCACATTCATGACACCAATAGCGCTTTTTCCCTGTGTGAACATTTTGTTGGACACGAAGACCGTAACTGGCGTCCTCCTCAGACGGACCGCACACAGGGGACATCCTTCCCAAGTGCACCTGCTGATGAAGTTCAAGACTGGGGCTGTCACTGAAAGCTGCTTCACACTCACTACACTGGTACATTCTCTGTCCTGGGTAAACACAATGCTGGGTAAGTGCTGACACCTTTAGGACATCTTCACTACAAGTACTGTTGCTGTCAGCTGCCTCCATTTTATGCATTACAGAATCATCATGGCGGTGGGAAATGCAACTTAAAATGTCAACACACGGAACCAAGATACATAATTTGTTTTTCGCCTGAGTTGGCTTATAACCTTTCTGATGGTTCTGCATCTCACTGAGATATATTTTACTCCAGGGACTCTGAGCCATTTCAGTTGGAAATTCTTGGTTCTCAAAAGCATTAGAATGATCCCCTAGAAGATTCACAAGACAGCTGTCCTCCACAGAGGCCTGACAAGATTCTTCTGCTCCCACATGGCTGGAGGAATCACACTGCTTGGGGAACAGAGAACTCTTTCCTTGAATATTTATGATGGAATCTTGACTTTGGGTTAGTTTGTTTAGAATATGTCTCTTGATTTGCCAGTGTGCAAGCTCTCCCAGCGAAAGACACCTCAACCCTGCTTCATGAAGAATCTCCATCTTGTTTTGATTCCTGCTTTCTAAAAGGACAAAAAAAAATAAGGAATTAAAGGCAGAAAGTGGCATCAGCAAGGATGTAACTAGGAAGCTCAGTCTTTATTTCCCTTTGGAAACATTAAAAGAAAAACTACAGGCAAGCTAAAATAAATGTGTATGAACTCTGAAAAAGGTTAACAGCAGCAAAGAGAATGTTGAATCAAGAAAGAGCCACATTAAAAATAAGAGATTTGGGATCAGCCCAGGGTGAGGCCTTCAGGTCTTCTCTGGTCTTTTCTGAGCATGCGTCTTGCTGGGCCTGTTGTACTTCTCTCCACTGTTCAGTTTACCCAGCTACTTTTCACAGTCTTGGCATGGGATGGGCTGAAGGAACCAGTGGTCCAGCTCCCTCCCTCAAACTGGAGGGAGCAGGAAACACCTTACTGGTACTATTCTAACCTGTCGGGGGTTACGCGAAGACTGATACGTTTTGCCTGACTCACAGCCAGGATGAGAAGATGCACTAGACAGCAACAGTGGGCTCCACTCAGCACAGCAGCAGAGGGACGGCAGACGTGCAGTGGCCTAGGGAACGAGAGTAGGTGTGGGGATGGACTAGAACACCAAGGCCCCCAGAAGCCAGGGTCTGCCTCTGAGAAATTAAGACCTTTAAAAGCAACTGCGTGTAAGACAAAGACAGAAGAAACAAACACCCAGCTCAGGCAAGACACATGCCCAGAAAATACTGGAGACCTTATCTCTCACCTGGGCAGATCACACAGCTCAAAACACACTCTATCAGTTAGTGAAGTCTTTCCTCAAAAACAGGAAGAAGGCATTACAAAAAGAGAGAGAGAGAGAGCCAAGTATGGTGGCACATGACTATAATGCCAGCACTCAGGAGGCTGAGGCAGGAGGACTGTCATGAGTTTGAGGCCAGCCTGGGCCACACAGTGAGTTCAAGGCCAACCTAGACTACAGGCTAAGACCTTGTCTCAAAAACAAAACAAAACAAACAAAAAACAAAAACAAAGCAAAACAAAACAACCCAGAACATTAAGGAAGGGACAAAAAGCTATGACAACAAAAAACAAAATGTCAACAGTTGTCATAGTGTGAGACCTCAATGTACAGAATAAAAAACTACTTGGAGATGAGAATTAGTTCAACCACCAGGAAGGCCAGAGGGGCTCTCTCAACTGAGAGCAGTGTAAGCGAAAGTTCCAGGAGGAGCACTGAAGTCAAGAACTCTCTGGCTTTTATTTAGCGTATCAGTTTAAGAGACAAAGGGAAAAAAAGCAGTTTGGGCAAGGAGCTGTCTCAAGGCTAGGCAGTTTTCTTGGGGAAAAGGGAAGGAACACGGCCAGAGACAACACGGTTCACTAATCTGAACTTGTTTAACCATTCATTTCTCACAGAGCCTGCATGCTTTCGTCCCCTAGTTTAACCATTCCCTCCTCTGTGAAGCACCCCACAAACAGTAAGTCCTGCTATAAATGTTAACAGGTTAAACTCCCCAATAAAAAGACACAGACTGAAAAGATGGATGTAAAAACCAAGAACCATGCAAGCTTAAATATCACATGGTTTCTCTTATACAAGAAGCCCAAATTATAAATAAAGAGCAAAATAAAAGATAATAGGGAGCAGGAAGATAGATTTTCTCAAATGTGGAGGGGAGAAAAAGGCGATGAAAAAAGAATTACTGCTTGTTACATATTCCACAGAAGGAGCATTATGTTCTGCAATCCTGTACAAATTTAGAAAAAAAATAAAGTATGTGATTAAAAAAAAACTAGGAACGAAACATATGTTTCAATTTAAGGACAGAAATAGGTTTATAGTGAAAAAATGGGAGAAGATATTCCACGCCTAATAAATAAAAACAAGCAGGGGGAGCTGTACTAATATCAGGTAAAATGAGCATTAAGTTAAAAAAATTTTTTTAAGATACAAAGAACAAGGGGCTGGGGATTTAGCTCAGTGGCACAGCGCCTGCCTGGCAGGCGCAAGGTCGTGAGTTCGATACCGGAAGGAAAAAAAAAAAAGATATAAAGAACATTATTTAATGATTAAACTCAACTCCTCAAGATTTAATAATCATGAACATACAGCTGCAGCACAATGTGACACAGAAACATTATTATCATATTTGCGGATGAAGAGGCAAAGCAGTGGGAAGTGACAGGAGAAAAATGTGGAATGGTAAAGCTAGGAGAATGAACAAAGCTTTGTGACCTTCCAAGCCTCTTAGAAAGGCTGGGTTTACCGAGTGCAGTGGGAAGCTGGGGAGGCCAGGAGCTGAAGGAGTGTCCAGATATGACAGTCAAAGGGTCTCTGGTTGGCACCGGAGAAGAGGTCACTCTCAACAGAGGCAGAACCACCAGGCTGTTACCCACCACGGCTCCAGCGGCACAGTTCTCAGGAATGCCTACCTCTTTGGGTTTGGATCTCTGTCATCCAAAGCTTTTCCTCCCTCTCCAACTGGGATATCATATCTGGTTTGAAGGACTGGTGTCCTGTGAAAAGACAAAGATTTATAGGAAAATGTTAAAGGCAAACAGTAGTGAAAAAATTCTGGTTCTTATCCCATAACATAAGCCTCTCCCCTGCTCCACCAGGCGATATGTACCAAACGTTTTCATCATGACATAGCGTAAGCAATACACTTACTATCATCAGACAGATATTATTATCATATACAATCTACTGAAATAAGAGATTCAATGATCTGTTTCTAACCAGTGCGTCTTCATCCCATCCAGGTCTCACACCCGTTACTGCAATCCCTACAGTTACTGCCACAACTCACAGCAGCACTGCCGTTACCACTCGAGTTCATACCTAAGTGCTGATTACTAAATTTCACGACCCACCGATGGATTACGATTTACACAGAGATAAGAAATAGGGACTCGGGAAGAGCTAAGGGCTGCTGTTCATTTGTACTTCATTTACAAAAAGTTTGCCTTGGAACAAAGGTTAGCAGCTCTGTCTCTGTACTCCAGCACAGGAAAACGGCTCTGAGGAGTTTCACTGCGGGGAGCGCTCCTGCGCGGAGGCCAAGGAGGTGGCTAAATAGCCTAAAACACCCAGCCCCAAACACCACCAAGTTAACAGCACCAAGATGGAGAAACTTTCCTCAAGGAGGTGAGGCCAAGGTGCGCAGCGAGCCCTCCTCACCCACGGAGAGCAGGTTCCTGAAGTTCTCCAGCATCACGTCCCGGTACAGCTTCCTCTGGGCAGAGTCCAGCAGCCCCAGCTCCTCCTCGCTGAAGACCACGGCCACGTCCCTGAAGGTCACCGCCTCCTACGGCACCAAACGTGCTCCCTCAGTGTTGTACGCACTGGCCACCTGGACCTAGGCAGCCCCTTCGGCAGAGCTCCTGATCTTTCCCTTCCACAACTCTAACAAGAACGCTTGTGTGTGGGGGGGGGAGGGCGGTCGAGGTAGGGGTAGCGGTTTGAAAAAAATACCTGGTAGATATAACATGGTGCCCTTTAGGTACTGAAGT